CCTGAACTAATGTATCAATCAATATATGATGGAATATTAGGGTCAGGCTAGAGATTATTTTAATAATTTTTTTTTCGACATTAAAGTCAGAACATTATGAGAATAAAGTTGTAATATTATGAGCAAAAAGTTCATAACAACAAGAATAAGTCATGATACCACAACCCGTTTCAGAACGAAAGCTTCAAGCTCCGACCAGCAGATGACGGCCGTCCACCAAACAGCAACCTGAGTCCGCTTTGACATTCTGCCCAGTTTGATGCTGGTGCTAAAATATTTCCTTATTTGTCAAACCAATGCCAAAGTATAACTTCACATGATGTTCGACATTCCTAGTTTTAGGGAAGAAAGTGCTTCTCGTAACAGTCATAAAATACAACTTTGCTGTCGTAATTTTAGGACTTTATTCTCGTAAGGTTGCGACTTTATTCTTGTAATTTTGCAACTTTCTTCTGGTAATTTTATGACTTCATCCTCATAATATTATGACTTTCATTCTCGAAATGATAAATAAATAAAAATAAAAATCTCACTTGGCCCTTATACTCGTAATCAATGCACTCATTTTGAGCACTTTTCATGATTTTAATGGCAATCCAGTTTTTATATGTTTCATTGTTCTATTTACCAAATTCTATGTTGATGTGCTTTAAAAACCATGTTAAATAAAAAAAATATGTGATGATTTAATGTCAGATATATATGTTTTTTTCTGCAGAGTGTCTTCAAAAATTTTGACACAGATGGCGATGGCAACATTTCCAGGGACGAGTTTGAAGCCATCAGAAACAATTTCCCCTACCTCAGCAAATTTGGAGAACTAGACAAGAACCAGTGAGAAGCCACAAATGAACACACAGAACAAAATGAATAGTGTGGTGTGTGTTTGCATCAATGTTTTTCATTTGCTCCTCTCACAGAGATGGGAAGATCAGCAGAGAAGAGATGATCGACTACTTCATGAAAGCCAGTTCTCTGCTAAACTGCAAGATGGGCTTCATCCATACTTTCACAGAGACCACCTATGTGAAGCCAACATTCTGCGAGCACTGCGCTGGCTTTGTAAGGAAACACTTTATACTTATTCATCTTTTTTTCCATTGTTGAAATAGTAGATTTCATTGACTTGATTGAGCTGCTAATCTGTAAACTCAGATTTTGGTCGGGATCTATGAGTAACAAAATTGACACTATATATCTGCTTTAACTAAAAAGCAAAAGAAGAATTCAGATTTTTTTCACTGGTTCAACATGCACATAAGAGTTTAGATCATGGTTTGCAGAGGTGGAAAAAGTACTAAAATATCATACTCAAGTAAAAGTACCAATACTTGGATGAAATATTACTCAAGTACAAGTACAATTACCCATCAGAAAAATTACTCAAGTAAAAGTAATAAGTAGCTATTTAAAAATGTATTTTAAGTAAAAGTTACTTAGGTACATAAAAAAAAAAAACTGTTGAACGGGACAGGGGATCTCTCCCATGTAGTGAAAATAGGACAAGGAGTCATAAATCCAAAACTATTTATTTTTTAATTAAAGAAAAATCTATACAAATGTATACACATGTAATGACAAGATAACACATGTCACAAATGACATTTAAGACCCTTATAAATGTATAATGTGCCATTTTAGTGCAGAACATCCCATAAAATGTTTTCAATGTTTCCACATCAATTGAAAGTGTAATTGCCATGAATTGTTCATTCTGAGTGCCATCCCTCTTTTAACATATACAGTTATAATGCAAATCAAGGCTAAATCACGTGTTTCGACTCCATAAATAACCAAAATAGAACTAAAATCTCAGTGTCAGGGACATTTCAGAAAAATAAAAGCAAAATAGTGCAACACTCTGATGGCAGGCTGGGGGTTTAATGTCTAATGATAAAACACGTCAAAAAAACTTCTAACTAAAAAAATATAAATGACACTCTCCCATTGTATATGTCCACCTTAAAGGACAAATCCAGTGAGTTTTCACATAGATCTGTTTCTCAGTATTGAAAAAAAAAAACTGAAAACAATTGGTTCTTTAGCTGCTGGCTGTAGCAACTCAAGCTAGATAAAACCGGTTGTTTTCAGGGGGTTCTCTGAACCGTCGTCGCTCTCCTGATCCACCTCCATCTCTTCCCCAATCTCCTACAGAAAGACGCCTGGTAGCCTAGATCTACATGCTGATCATGTCGCTCACTGTAGTGCTTCCGGGCCCGATTTTTTGTCTTCCTTTCGGTTTTCCAGAGTTTTTTTTTAACTCAGTAACGGATGGGATTTGTAATGTAACGAAATACAATACTTCACTCAAAACGTAATCAAGTAAAATATAAATTAACGATTTTAAAAACTACTTGAAAAATACAAAATAAACAAAAAACCTTCTCAATACAGTAACTTGAGTAAATGTATTTCGTTACTTTCCACCTCTGATGGTTTGTTTTAATCGGAGAAAAAAGTAAAGGAACATTTTTGAGAACAACTTATAGAATGACATGGTTAAAATCGGATTTTCTGAATTTGGTGAATTCGGTTATATTAGAATGGAGTACATCTTTACAAAAAGAATAGGAGAACCT